AGAGTATGTGCTTTAGGATAACATTTATATGAAGTTAAAACTCATTAATTTGTGGTGATAGGAGTCAGGAAGCAATTCCCCACAGAGGAGGAGGCAGGGCCAGGCCGAAGGTGAGGAGAGCAAAGCGCCTAGGGTGCAAGTGTTTGGAAGGCACCCACTCTCATGGCCACACAAATGAGACCCCAGACACCTCCCTTGTCTCGCCCTAGTCTTGGTCCTGGGAATAGGGGCTGGAAGGGGGTCTAAAGGGGACTTCCGAAGAGCTGATGTTCTGTGTCTTGATTTGGGTATTGGTAACATGGGGGAGTTTCCCAGCCTGGCCACTCACTAGCTGCCTGGCACTTCACCCCTGATCTCAGCAGCCTCAGGTGGGAAATGAGGTGCTGTCTCTACTTTGCAGGAGTATGGGGGGCTTCCATGATTATGTGTGTGAGCAGGCCGGGATAGAGAGATGCTCAGGAACATCTCTCATGTGCAGTGGCACCGAAGACCTATGGTTTAGATTGTAAATCTATGATCTTGAGCTCCCTTGAGAGAGGAGGCTTGAGTTGTCAACAAGTGCTGGTAGGAGGAAAGCGGCCTTAGAAAGATGGTTCTGTGCAAAGGCCCCCTCAACAAACAGCCTTGAGCCTGACAGCTCAGACCCAGACCTGCCTGTCTGCACCCCAGCCCCCGGCCCCCAGCACAGGGCCTGGCCCCATGCTGGCACCAAGTGACTCCAATAACATGAGCTTATCCTCCCAATCACCTTCTCAGGGAGGCAGGCAGGAGTGGGATCTTGGGCAAGGCACTTCACCTCTCAGAGCCTCAGTTCTTTCATCTGTAAAATGGGCTAATTGTGGCGCTTCCTTCATGGGGACATTATGAAGAGTCAGTGAGTTACTCCATGTAACATGTCTAGGGTATCGCCCGCTCTTACAAGAGGGCAGCGAATGGGAGCCATCACTGGAAACATAATGATAAGAAATGGGAAGTCACGTAGGTGGTAAAATGCATAAGCAGGACTTCCAACAGGGGGAGGAACCAACTATGCAAAATGTCTAGAGTGGAGGGTGGGGTGGGGACTCCTCCCATAGCCCGATAGATACACTCATGCAGAATGCACACTGATTTCCTAAACCAGATGCTGAAGGAGCCCCACCCCCACAGAGGCAGAGTCTGCCCGTGTACGTGGACATACATGCAGCACCCACAGGAGGATGTGTGTGCAGACGTATGGGTCCACAGAGTGCACTGTCACGGTGGTACATTTTCATGCACATCTGTGGTCACATATGCCCCTGCACCCCAGGGGGCAGACACGGACCATTCACATGGTCATGAGGCCACTGTCTCTTACTAAGCACTCACTGTATGCAAGCCCGTCTTAACAAGTACTTTTACAGTGGGGTCCCTGCACCTGCAGCATCAGTATCACCTGGGTACTCGTTAGAAATGCAGGTTCCCAGGCCCTACCTCAGACCTGCTGAATCAAAAATTTAGGCATGGGGCCGACAGTCTGTATTTTATCTTGGCCAACTGGTGATTCTGATGCATAATTAAGTTTTGAGAACCTCTGATCTATATTATCTCTAATATAGATATAATGTAAGAGTCCTCTTATGTTCATTTCCCATCTTACAGGCAAAGAATCAAGCTCAGAAATGTGATGAGACCTGCCCAGGGTCACAGAGTCAGGAATTAGTAGAGCTGGGATTCAGATCCAGTGCTGTGAGGCTCCAAAGCTCATAGCTCTTACTCCACAGTGTGTCCCAATGGAAGCATCTGTCATTATGCACGCGGGATAGCCACCACCACTCCCCTGGGGACACCAGCCTGTGCAAACATATGATACACAATTCACCCCTCCACCATGGTCCACACCTGCTCATGCCAGCCTCAGGGCCTTTGCCTGTGCTGTTCCTATTGCATGAAATCCACTTCCCACTTGGCTTGCCTCATCTCTTGGGTGTCCACTCAAATGTCACCTCCTCAGAGAAGCCCTATCAGCTAAAGTAGCCCCCTCATCCCTGGACTCTATCCCGTCACACTGTTGTCTTTTCTTCATAGCACTTACCCTGTCTGAAATCATCTTGCTTATTGTTTGGCTTTTTACTATTTTCTCCCACTACAGTGTCAACTCCATGAACTCAGAAACCTATTCACTGTGGTAACCCCTAGAACAATTCCTCTCTGGCATAAATACTTGTTGAACAAAAAGAAATGAATGAATAATCAGTGACACATGCAGACATGGCCAGAAGTGGTCTAGGTCACACTTGGAAGCAGAATACATGTACATAGCCAGATCTGGGTCAAGGTCACAGAATGTGAGGCAAGGTGGCTTGTGCCCTAGACTGGATGGTGGAGCAGGGATCCTGGTGGCAGGTTTATGGGTGTGCCTGGCACATGTGTGCATGTGCACACATGCATGCGTGTGTGTGGCTTGAGGATTGCTCACCTTCAGGTCAGTGGGGAATTCCTCCTTCTTTACCAGGCCTGTGGCTGCCGCGATGTTCCCAGCCCCAGAGAACACAGCTCCTCCCAGATGTGATGCCTGTTCCTTGGTTTTCTCAGCCACTGGAGCAGCGAGAGGATTGGGGAAGGGGCTGGGGGTCAGAGTGAAGGAGACACAGGTATCCTCCTCCCCCCGTAGTATCCCAGAGCCTGCTTTTCCCGTGGAGCACCCCCAAAGCCTTGAGGGTACCCTTATCCACCATCCATCCCTGCCACCCTCTGGATCCTGGCCAGCTTTCAGACTGGGGGAGGGAAAGGGACTGTGCCAGTGCTGGGCTGGTACCTGAGGCCACTCCTTGTACCACCCCTTCTCGGGTCTTGCTTCCTGCAGGAAGATAAAGGGGCACATTTAAGGGTTCTGAACTGAGGAAACAGACTCCGGCAAGCGCGGTGGTTATAGAGTGGGCAGAGGAACCCAGATGGCAGTGGGCATCCTGGCCCCATCACTGCCTCCCTGGGCTTCTCAGGATCCCACAAGTCCCCCCTCATCGCTGCATTGAGCCCCACTTCCTCAGGACTTCTAGTTCTCCCCTCTGTCCGTCCCCCTACTTCCCTGATATGATACCACACCCCCAGGTGGCTGTCACTTGAGTGCCAGCACTGTGCAAAGCACTCTACTTGCACTGGGTCATTTAATTCTCTGCTCAGGGTGGGAGCATGTGGGGTGGGAATGGGGGTGGGGCTGCGGGGCAAATGGGTCATGTATTTGGAAAGGTGCCTCGGGTGCCTGACTGCTTACATCCCGCCTATGGGCACCTCCATTCACCACCCCCACGCCATTTCTTCTAAAGATTCTTCTAACAAGGGTGCAAATCCATTCTTCTGGCTGGAGTAGGGAGAGTCTCGGTGCTCGATGGGCCTAAGGGTGATGTGCAGGTTATAGCTGACACCCACAGCACTGACTGGGCCTTCCCGAGAGGGCAGCAACTTGGTTACAGCAAAATGTGGGGCTGCTGGGAAAGGCGAAGGGGCCTGATTTGAGGTGGGTGGAGGAGACTTCAGGGGAGTGGGGGTCTCCTATCTCCCGAGGATTTGGAAACTCAGACAACACCTGAGAGACCCAGAAATGGGTGTGTGGGTAGGCTGAGGCCTGTGGGAGGGGAAGAGGCTGCCGTGGGAAGACAGGGTTCTCACACCTAAGGCCAGCCAGACCCGGGGCGAGGCGGCTGTGCATGCACCCATTTGTTCCTCCCACAAACATTTGTTGGCACCTGCTCTGTGCCAGGCTCCAGGCCAATCGCTCAGTGTCAGATGGGAGTAAGAGAAGAGCAAATTCGGTGCCCAGGATCTCAAGCAGTGTGGGAGAGGACCTCCAGCCTCAAACAGTAGGGTACATGATAAGGGAGGGGACATTGCCTGGGCCTTGACAAATGGGGAGCAGATAGATATGCAGAAAGGAGACTGCGGAGGGTACAGCAAGCACAGAAAACCATCCACGCAGGCAGGGCACAGAGGAGTGTGTGTTCAGGCCTGCACGAAGCACCTCAATGCCATCTGTGTGCCTGCAGTGATGGGAATGGTGAGAAACAAAGCTGGAAACACTGAGCGAGGCAGGACCATGCCGGGTTACAGGGAGCTGAGGCTTAGCTGTGTAGAGACTGGGCTGCCGGGGGCTCTTGGGCAGGGGGATGAGGCAGAGGGAGGCCAGAGTCGGTTGGCATGTGTGGGCTCAGGCCTTGTCCCTGCCTCTATCACCTTTGTTCCAGCTCCACTTTTGTCTGGTGGCTACACGATTTCCTAGGCGGTCTCTGCGATTTGCTCTGTCCCAATGCCTGAGGGACCTTTTTAAACTGGAATCTGATCATGTTGGTGTCTAGCTTACAATCTCTCATGGTAATTATAACAGTGCTTTACCCGGGCCTACAAGGGCCCCTCATCAATGGGCTCTTGCCCACCTATCCCTGCTTCCTGTCCTTTGCTCTCCAGCCTCCACCCTGGCTCCTTATTCTCAGGGCTCAGCCCAAATGCCACCTTCTTTGACTACCCTACCAAAGTGGCCCCCACTCCAGCTACTTGATGTCAAATCCCATTTTTGGAATGCTCTGTGTCACATCAGGAGAGAGGGCAACTTTGTCTCTTGTCCACTGTTACATCCCCAGGAGCCACACAATGGCTGGCACATAGTAGGTGGTCAATAAATACCTTTCAAATGACCGTAAACCCAAATCTGCCCTGGACAAAGTTAATCAGCCCTCTTCAGCCTGCATAGAGGACGAGAAAGGCCTGAATCATGGAGAGGATTCAGTAAATGTCAGTTTCTGGGCCTTCCCTTTATGCAAATGAGGGAAGGCTCCCTCTCCTTTCAGACTTAGGGTGAGAGATTTAACCACTTGGCCTTTGTCCTGATGCCAGCTGGCAGCTGCAAGGAGTGGGGACCCAGAGGAGCGATGGCAGTGGTGGATCTACAGGCACTGGGAGGCAGGGAGACATGGAGAGGGACTGTGAGGTGGAAGTAGCTGGAGAGGAGGGCTGGGAGGAAGCCCCAAAAATACAGGAGGGAGGGCAGGCAAGGGGAGGGGTGGGGCCTTGGAGTCCGGAAAGCTTGGCTCAAACTCCAGCTTCAGATTTCATCAGCTGTGTGACCTTCAGCAAGACAGTCAAACCTCTGGGAAGTTTCCCTGGTCTGTGGAATGGGCAGGGAGCATTAAATGAGGTGATGGATGTTATGACACTTTACACAGCACTTGGCAGAGAGTAAGGGCTCAACACCAGCTAACTATTACTAATGAGGAGAAGGAAAGGAAGCCTATCTGCTTCACTCCCTCCCTCTGTCCCTGGCCTTCCCCTGAACCCCACCCTCACCAACCCTCCCTCCTCATTCCCCCTCCTGTGGCTGTGTCCCCAGTGACCCCAGCTGACCCACCTTATCTGCTGACTCATATTCTCCCGCCCGGACCCCGCACTCCCTCCCTCTAAGGACCCCAGACCAAATTCCCCGGGGACACCCAAACCCCGCAGCCCCGCCCCTCGCCCACCGACGTAGAGGACGCCCTCCTTGGTCTTCTCCGCGGCCTCGGTGACCCCCTGCTTGGTTTTCTCAGCAGCGGCCACGACACCCTCCTTGGCCATGGACAGGCCCTTCATGAACACGTCCATCCTGGAGGCCTGGGGAGGGCGAACATACGGGCGCGGTGCGCTGGCCCTGCACCCTCACCCCAGTTCTTCCCGAGGGACGCGCGGGGCCCCTTCCCCTTTCTCCTGAGACCACAGCACCCTGTGGGCCCGGAGCCCCCTCCCGCCTTTCTCTGTCCCCAGCGCGAGGCCACAGGGCCGCGGCGAGTCCTAGCGTCCTTGAAACCCGAAGACACGGGAGGGGCCAACGCCTCGGTTTTCCGGGGCCCCGCAACCTACAGCCCTGCGGAACAGGAGTGCGGGACTCGGCACGAAGCCCCGGAACCTGCCTGTACACACACGACAGTGTCACACGGCCAAGCACACAAACACACTCCATGGACACGCTCATGTGAACATACAGGACACGCAGACGTTCAAACGCGCACTGACACTGACAAACACGGGTACACGGGCGCGGACGCACGTCCACACACGGCCACCCAGGCAGTTGCAGACAGAGCAGCAGACACACATTCCCCGGGGCGCACACTGACACGCACCCACAGGCGCCCTCTCTATGTTCTCCAGCCTCTTCCTCAACCCCTTCCGCATCCCACGCAGCCCCCTCTCCAAACTCAGACCCTTTCCTAACCCACCTGGTCCCCTCTCCATCCCAGCCCTTCCCTTTCTTGGCTCCCGGAGCGCGGCCACCTCACCTGGATGCGGGGCCCGAGCTGGGGATGAAGCGGCGGCTGAGGTGGGCGGGCGCAAGGGCTCAGCTAGGCTGGTCTGGGGTGGGCTTGGAGCTGGTTGGGGATCCGGCCGTGGCCAGGCGCTCGGGTCAGTCTGCAGCAGGCGGGGCGCGGGCCCTGAGCCGGGCGCAGCAGTGCCCGGGCCTTGGGTGCGTCGCCGGCCGCCGCTCCTGCCTTGAGCCCTGCTCGCTCGCGCACTCCGGCTCTGGCTCCCGCTCCCGCTCCCGCGCTGCGGCAGCTCTGAGCTCAGCGCTCCCCACTGGCGGCTGCACCGCCCCCTCGGCCTGACTGACAAGGGGGCGGGGAGGGTGACATCTCCGCAGAGTCTCCTAGCCTCCCGGGCCCGGCAAGAGACGCGCAGCTGGGAACCCCGGAGCGTCAGACTCAGGTCCTGCCCCCAAGAGACCATTCTGGTGGGGGAGACAATGCGGCGTGCTAAGAATGGAGAAGAAATAGTGCAAAGGGCTTTGTAGTTCAGATGGGTTCGAATCTCAGCTGTTTTTTGTTTGTTTGTTTGTTTGTTTTGTAATTAACTGGGACTTTGAGCTACTCAGCTCGCCTTTCTGAATGTGTTTCCTTTTCTGTAAAATACAGATGATTCATTCAACGAACGTTTATTGAGCACTTAGACAGATGCCAGGTGGATTGGAGGCTGGAGACAATGGAAAAGAAAAACAGGGTCCCTGCTCTTGGGGAGCTTACAATGGTGTGTGTTGTGTGTCGCAGGGATGGGAAACAGAAAATAAAACTGGCAACACTTAAACCAGAGCTATTTCGGCTTGTGAGAAGTGTAAAGAAGATAATAGATTGGTGATGTAACAGAAAGACTAGAGGAGGGGCACCTGAGACAGAGCAGTCAGGGAAGGCCTCTGTGAGGATGTGAATGGAAGCACAGACCCCAGAGAGGCACCAAGGCCAAGATGAGTGAAGGCAAGACCCACAGAGAGGAAACTGCTAGTGCAAAGGCCCTGAGGCAGGACTGTGCTTCAGAACAGATAAAAGGCAGTACAGCTGGAGAGCCAGGAGGGAAGGAGAAGGATGCTGACAAGACAACTTTTTGAATGGTTAGGGCGAAGATTGCCAAAAATTGTCTTAGAATGCCAGGAACCCATAGGCCCTCAGTCAGTGCTATGACAGAATTATGCCCAAGAAGCTGGGATCCCAGAGGAAGGGGATTCTGACAGCTTAGAGGGGGTTAGGGATGGCTGTACAGAGGAGGTGACGTCTAAGATGGGCCTCGTGGAACAGGTAAGATTTTATCTGGCAGATAAAAGAGGGAGTTTTGGTCTGTGGGTACAGCATGGGCAGAGGCGCTATGGCTGGAAAGGCAGGGTGTATAAGTGACAGGTGATGAGGTGAGGGGCAGCCAGCAGCCAGAGTGCAGAGCATGGAAAATAAATGTTCACAGGCTGCTAGTAGAGCTGCAAATTGGGCATGCTCTTTGGAAGGTAATTTGGCAATGTTTACCTAAGACACAAATGCACGCTCCTTTTGAGCCAACAGTTCCCCTTCCAGGAATTTATCTCTTGGATCTATACTCGTACAAGCGCACAAAGACATTCATACAAGGATATTCACTGTAGCCTGGTTTCTTGTAGCAAAAAAATGAAAAAACCTAAATGTCCATCTGTAGAGAACTGGCTAGTTAATTGTGGTACATTCACTTGGTCAAATGCTATGTTGCCATCAGAAAGCACATGCTATATATATTATAGACACCTTGTATACAAATATATACAGACTTACTTATATCTGGATATTCAAAGAACAGATCTGCAAGGACTGCCAAAAAATCCACCAACAGTGGTTGTCCCTGGCAAACGGGGCAGAGAGGACTCAGGGAGAGAAGCTTTGACTTTCATTGCCTTCCTTCTTATGCTATATGATTATTTTACCTTGAATAGAATTTTACTTGTATGATTTTAAAAGCTAGCATGGGGGACATCTGTCATTATCGCTGGCCTCTCGGCATCAGAATTGCCCCTTCCTAGGTTTGGGGGATCCCCCACCTTATGAGGCAGAGCCCACCTCCCTCTCTAGATACTTGCAATGCTTTCCCAGGCTTCCTTGCAGCTAGGACCTGTGAGGTCAGCCCCAGACACCCCAGCCTCAGATTCAGAACCTGAAGCTAGTGCCAGAGCAGCAGGGAAGGAGGAAGTCTGCTCTGGTAAGGACAGGTGGCATTGTCAGTGGCAGCTCTTGCCAGGGGTCATTGGGGCATCAGTTACACTGCTTCTGGGAATACCCAGCGTGACAGGGCAAGCTGCACTGTCCGTGTTCATAGCGTCAGAGGAGTCTTTCTAGGCCTGCTTGGCACTGTGATTTGGGATATCATTCCAGGCATTTGCGATATCATTCCAGGCTTGGAGAATTCCCTGGCATTCTGAGAGAGTTTTGAGCTGCTCTATATTGGTTAATAACTGTATCTGCTTAAATTAGCTACAAATGATTTCTGCGACTCGGGACTGAGAACCCCTGAATGTCAGAGTAGGTGACGAGAAAGGACTGAGGAGGAAAGAAGAGAAGAGGAAGAGAGAAAGACCGGATGAAGGGTATCTGTGCTTCCTATGTCATTGCAGGACTTTAAGTGCAAGAGAGACCTACACAAGATTTGCATTTTAAGGGGCCAGGTGGAGGTGGGTTGGAAGGGGCCATGGCTAGAAGCAGCAAGATCAGTGAGGAGGCTGAAGCAGAATCCATGGGAGAGAACGACAGAGCCTGAACTAGGGAAGCCGTGATGAGGCTGGAACAGGACCAAGGAAGATTTGGGTATTATTTAGAAGGTAACTTATCAGGTGCGAGAGAAGAGGGAGAAGGATGAGTCTAGGATGATTCCCAGGTTCCTGGCTTGAACATTGGGGTGAATGCTGCTGCAGCAAAGTGCAATAGGCATTGAGGGGCTGGAACAGTGTGTGTGTGTATGGTGATGGTGAGCTTGTTTGGGGCATGCTGAATGTGCAGTGCCTGGTAGACAGGCTGGAGGAGGTGTCCAGTAGATGGTAGGTTATCTGAGTCCAGAGCTCAGACAGTCACTCCAGGCTGGCTTCAGGTATAGATTTGGGCCATGGTATACCAGGAAATCTTTAAAGCGTGGCTCTCCAAGTAGAGAAACACCTTGATCTGTAGTCTGCTGATACCTGTAGTGTAAATTCTCCCTCCATGGTTGCTTTCAAGCTGTCAATGTGGTGTCACTGAGAATTGGAAAGAGACATGCTGTATTTTCACCATACAGAAGATATAGATTAAAAAAAAACCCACAAAAAACCTTAAGAGTAGAGATACTGGTCAAATAATTAGAAAGTGATATTTTGAGCATTTATTATGTTTGTTTTTCACATAATTGATATCATAAGTTTATAATGGCTTTTACCAGTGGTTCATAAAATTCCTGAAACTTTGATGATTGTTCTCAGGAGCTGGTCCATACCAGCCCAATACCCTACTGGATCTGGAGTCGTTCACACAGAGGTGGCAGCTGGAGCCGTGAGGATGATGTGATCGCCCAGGGGAACATGGAGAGTGAAAACAAGAGAAGACCTGGAACAGAATTCCAAGGCACTGCAACCTTCACAGGCAGAGAAGCCTGGGGAAAAGCCTGAGAGGGAGCAGCTCCGAGAGGAGAAGAAGCTGAAGAGAGCAATAGCAGGGCAACCAAGGGCATTAGAGGACAACAGGATAAATACTAGAGAAGCCAAAGCCATGAGGAGTGAAGTCCTTAGATTGGCAGCAAGTGGGCTGTTAGATTGTTTAACAGCTGCATGCGGGGAGGGAGAGCTCTGGGAGCCCAGGAGAGAAGGAGCATCCAGGGAAAGTGGCCAGGAGAAAGTGACATTCAAGCTGGGTTTTGAAAGATGAGAAAGGTCTTACAAGTGGTGGTAAGCATTCCTGGCAGAGGATCTGGCAGGTGAAAAAGCCTAGAGTGTAGAGGGAACAGAAAACAGGTTAAATTCCAAATTAGGCAGAAAGTTCCTTTGGTTGCTAGTACAAAAGCTTAGGCTAAGCAGGTGTTTATCCTTTCACTTAAAGAAGTCCAACAGGAGGCAGGCCACCATTTGTGTGATGATGCCTACCTTCCTGTTGCGTCATTCTTAGTACATGGATTCCACCTTCAAGGCCACCTCATGGTCCAAGATGGCTGCTGCAGCTCCAGCCATCATGTCTATGCAGAAAGCAGGAGGAGAAATAGGGTAAAAAAAAAAGCACCTTCCAGTTGTCTGTCTCTTTCGTGAGTTTTCCCAGAAGCCTAGCCAACGACTGCTGCTTCTCTCTCACCGGCTCTGCCTAGGCACAGCGAGGCTGCAAAAGTGTGGTCACTCAGCTGGGCATTGACTTCCTGGAATCAAAGTAGGAGAAGGGAGAATGGTTACTGGGTAAGCCGCTAGCATCTCTGTCACTGTTTCTTTTCACCACCAATTCTTTTGTTTTGAAAAATATCAAATCTAGAGAAAAGTTGCAAGCATAGTACAATGAACAGAACCTCCAGAAAAGTTGCAATATTAGTACAATGACTACCCAAATATCTTTCACCTAGATTCACTAATTGTTAACATTTGCTACATTTTTTTTGCTTTCTCTCTACATGTGCTGTCACTCAAAGAAGGGGACACGGTTACTGGGCCACCACTTTCTGGCATAATGGATCCTTTACCTCGTGCCACACTGCTGGTCCCCTTAGGGCAGAGCTCAGATCCCCAGTTCTCTTTCTGGCCAGGCCCTAAACCCATGAGTTCTCAGGGCCTGCTCCTGGTTTCTGTTCTCTCTGACCCTGAAAAATAGGCCTCTGCATTCCTCCCTCCCCTATCACCTCCCTGAGAATGTACTAAAGAGAATGGTTATTGAGGCTTCCTGAGAGGGAAGTGGGGAGAATGTGGGGAAGGGGATGGGAGAAAAATCCCAGCAGAAGTGGCTGGAGTAGAAGGCGTTTTCTTCGGAAGATCCTGGGGATGCCATCCCTGTGTGGGTCTGCAAAAACCCAGATGTGCTTTTATAACTGCCTGTGGTGCCTGACAGCGTGATTAAACATTTATCAACATTCCTGCCATTTTCAGAGGCCTCAAGTTGGGGAGGAAGACAGGCAAGCAGGATGAGGGCTGACAACAGAGAGAGGAATGGGTGATATTTATTGACCACTTACTGTGTGCCAGGAACTACAGCCATTATATCATTAAGCCCTAAAAAGAATTCTTTAAAGTGG